GCCAACTCTTGAGCCACGATCGCTTAACTTCAACGTAGATGTTCTGATTAAAACCTCATCATCATCCTGTTTTTGTATTCAGTTATGAGAAATCACCACTGCTTAACATTTTCCCCTGTTAATAATTAAATGCAGCTTGTTGAAGTGTCCTGTTGAAATACACAAATGTTCTGTTAGCACATTACATGATATCTCTTATTTCCATTGGGGAAGTAAAGGTACAGAGACCTGTCAACTAAGTCAGCTGCTGAGTACACAGGTTGAGCAGCGATGAACACTGTCTGCACGCTACACATGCAAATGAAACCCTGACATGAATACAGTTGTTTTCCATAGACTAAAGAGAAAGGCAGACTTTACATAAGGCTTTAACTATGGGCATCAGTTTAGAAATTTGTTGTCAGTTTCTTGAGGCCAAAAACTTGTTTAACTTAATATTTGTGAATACTATGCCTCAATTTGGAATTCTTTCCAAAGATAAGAGACACGAAAATCTTCTCATTCTCGCTCAAAACATGTTTCGTTTGATTCCTCCGTGGCTAAACTAAGAGTGCTCCTCACTCCACAGAACAAAGAAATCTAAGAGAAAGTAATTCCTAGCTTAGGTGTGATGCTGTAAAATTCCCCAGTTGGTTTAATAAAAATAATAATAATTATATTTTTTTATTATTAATTGAAAAATTCACAAAAGTTAGTCTTTTTAAAAAAAATCCTTGCATGATTTAAAATATCAACCCTTGTTTTCACTTTTATGAGATATACTTGTGGTTCTTATGGCAAGTCTATGCAGTATACATGACCGCAACACAGATATGTAAAAAAGACATAAAAGTTTATTATCGAAATCTCTGTCTGACTCTCTTCATCTGCTGGCAACTTCCATTAGAACAGTTTTCTTACATTTTACTACAACATCCAAATATAGATATTACAATTTTAACCATTCTGTGTATTTTTTTTAAACTTGACTGGAACATATGAAGCATAAGGGTCAGAGGACAAAATCGGCCTAGCAAGGACTCCAGTCAGGCCCAGTGGATGACTTTGAAAAATGTGAAGGAGGGCTAAAAATGTGGATTTTTAGCTGTATTTTAACAACAAAAAATAAATCAGTTTTTATAATGACAGGATAGTCTGGGAAATGAGTTAGCAGAACTTTGTCTTTAATTTCTTACATTTTAAACCCAAACACCGATGTCTTTCATTCACCCCAGCAATATAACACATGAGATGAAATTTTGAAATTGTAGGTATTTAATATCCTAAGATATCTCAAGGATTTAATGTGTAATTAACCATCAGATAGAAAGGGGAGTTTCACTTGTCCGGTGCGGTAGACATCAAAGTAAGCTGCATGAGGCCCTCGATATAAGATGACTTAGTATCTACTCTTATGATGCTTTTATAATATCTTTGATCTGTACCAACATTTAGTCCTAACTTTAACTTTCATAGAAACTTTTTTGCTTGAAGGATTGCAAATATAGCCCCTGGTCTTTTGATGAAACAGCGGTATAAACTTGGGGCCGTGTTCACAAACATTTTAAGAATCCTCTGACAGATGAAGTGGGCCTTCATCTGTCAGAGGCCTCGGGGGATGTGACTTTTCTAAGCTATGACTCTTGGGCCTTGTTTATAGGCAAAGAAAGGTCTGAAAGTCACAAGGTGTGATCAAACCCTATGCTACGTATGACACCTTTAAAAAGGTGTGAATACATGAACAATAAAAGAAAAAAACATACAAAAAGCTTACAGCCTACAGACATACCTGTTTGCACAATTTAATTGTTTGCTAACCTTATTCATTATCTATTTATTGTTAAAAGGGAAAACAAGCTTTCATCACTTACATTTGTACCGTGTCTCTGTGTTTATGTTTACATATCGGGAATGTAAAGTATGTATGCACATACTTGAGTAGTGGCTCTTAAGGTTATGTAACTGAGGCTAGTATGTTTACATACATTAGACAACTATAACCACACAATCAAATACTAGACTCCGTCTGTCTCCATCCTCGTCTCCATCAGCAGTTACATGAACTACATGACGTTTCTATTAAATGTGTGGTAATGATGATTGTGTCTGGCAGCGCTGGGTAAAAATTAAAAAGTCACAGTAAAAAAATGTAAATTCAGACACATAATCCCTCTAAAGAGAGACTGGAAAGGCAAAGTAGAAAAAGGGAAATGTTGTGCTTCCCTGTAACTTTTTTTGCATACAGATATTTTCCATTAGTGGAACTTAATATTTCCATTGTAGCTATGTCTAGTGTCAGTTTTGGTTTAACTACTGATTGAACCATATGAAGTATCTGAACCCACTAATGCTGAAATATCTTTGGGTAGCCTCGGTAAAAGCGGGCTGTATATGTGTTAACAAACTTTATTGTAATGTCATTGTATGGGCCTACATTTTTTTTTGGGGAGGGGGGGGGCTTAAAATATATAATATGCAATCATTTGTTATTAATTTAATTTATAACTATAACGGAAGTAAAAAGAGATTCAAAATAGTTTTAGGTGGTGTGCTCCATATAGACTGCATCTGAGGTCATAGTCTGGCTGAACCAGGAAAAGTATAATACTTTGCATGTGTATATGGTTGTGTGCATCATTTCTTTGTCCATGTCCTGCATCTGCGTCTCTCACTCTCTTTCTTGGCTTGCTTGCCAGAGAATTGTGGCATTACTATTAGTTAGAAATGTCTTGGAACAAGGAAATGTGATGTTTTTTAACACTCTAAAAAGAACTGGCTCGTCTGTGGTTGTGGACATTGCGTGAGGAGGGCTGTCTTTCCGGCAAGCTGCAAGCCTTATGCCTGAAATGTGGGTGACGTTTGATGACGCGCGGTAACTCAATGACGTCTGATAAGTTTCTTTCTCCTGATGCATCTTGCTGGCTTTATACAAATTAGAAAGCCTTCCAGTGTTTTGAGTCCCATTACTGGTCTAAAGTGCAAAAGTCACAAATCAAACCCTCCTTTGTAGAATGGTGCACCCTCCACCCACTCTCAGGCCCCTTCATCTGCATCGAGACTGTCCAGTTTCAAATTGACATCCCCAGACATTCTGCATTCAGCCAGCACTGCGAGTCGAAGTGCAGCTTGTACAATTTGAATTACAAAGAGTCACAGTTCCCCGTCCATGTAAATGAGACGCAGGCTCCTATCCGAGCCTGAAAGGCCTTATTGTCAGCAGATAACTATCTTTTTATCATTGGCATTTGAGCAAGTTATAACTAAACAAGGCTGTCGGAGGACAAAAATATGATTATTTTGCTGTTGTTTAATTTTTGCATCATAATGTCTTTCCAGAAAAGTGATTAAAATGAAAATACTATACAGATGCCTGCGTTTGGCAGTCAGTTAAGGCTGTTCATCAGCATCATGACTTATTGAACTCTAAAGTGTTCAGTAAGTCAGTCAGTTACTCAACTACTGTCGTGCATAGACTGGATTTCCCATTAAACAGGTTAAAA